GGTAAAGTCGGCTCGTCTTCTCATTTTTCAGCTAATTGTTACTGTGTTCTTATACCATTAACGTATTCATTTTTCAAGTATATTTAAGCCTTTTGAGCAAATTGGTGCAGATATGTTATGTCAGCGATTTTGTTATGATGTTCCTCTGCGCCGAATGCAGTTATGCCAAGCCGTTTTGCCTAAAAATTTCAATAAGTATGGTTAAGAGGCCAGTGCATACTGAGCCTCTTCATCGATCCGAACTTTTGAAACGAAAAAAAGCTTTTATTTCAAAAAAGCATATTAAATCATTTAAATTTCTTCAAAATTTCGGTAAGCAAAACGCAAAGGAAACAATTGTTGCCTATCGAGAGAAGAATTTAGAAAATTTACGACTTTATCAAGCAGAACCCAAAGAGCAGCTAGCACAAAGATTTCTGGTTTGATCATGAGTTTTCGTAGACTAAAACTTGCTTTTTTCTCATTCGTACTCTTAAGAACCTCACTGCTTTAAGATTAATGCAAAAAACCATATTCGCATTTGCAGGACTTGTATGTTGCTCTCCGAGCTGCATTTGCGTTAAGATGCAGAATGCAAATAAAAATTATAATTAAAAGTGAGGAACAAAATGGTCAATAAAAATCATGAATTAATTGCAGCAACTTTGCCACACTGTTGGGGGCTAATTTGTCTTGACAACCTGATTGAGCAGAGAGTGGTATTCATCTGTAAAACGCTCACTGCTGTTGTGGAAATCAGCATGCATAAAATGAGATTTAGCGTGATAAAATTTCACTTTCAATTCTTAAGAAAATTGCGGAGTAAATTTCCTACTTTGGTTGATTTTCCTGCAAATTTTCGTCTAGAGAAAATTTTCTGAGAATTTCACTCAATTGTTCGGGAGTTAGCTCCTCCTCTGATTCCTCAGCTATACGAACTTTTTCAAAAATTTCAGCTAGTTTTTCGACATCCTTTTTGTCTTCACTTTGTTCCAATCGTTTGACCGAACGCATGTCCTTGATCAGTTTTTCATACTTTTGTACCTAAATATGCACCAAGTTAAGAAAAAATGCTGCGGTTCTAGTTTTTCACATAGAGGGTGGTGCGCAAAAAGATATGAGCTTTGGGACACGCCGAGCTAAAAGTGTTGAAAAACGCAGTAGGCCTACAATGCTCATAAAAACAGAATTTCTTTAACATTCCTCTTTGCATTTTGGAGCTTGGAACCATTTTTTCCTTCAAACAGTGACACAGAAAATTTTGGAGGGCGAGTTTTTTTTGAGTTTTTGTATGTCCAAAATGAAAAAGTCGAAAGCCTCTCCTCATTCGCTTCATGAGAGGCGGAGGCACATCGAAAGTAGTCTGACTAGTAGCAAGCGCCAACAGTAATCACTCGCTGGCAAGGCAGTTATTGGCACCCTCTTCCGAGGGTTGTTTATAATCATACTGATGGCGGATTTTATTCCCTGGCATATGCCAACTCCAATTTACTGTCGAAACGAATAAACCAGTACTAGGGGCGTTGGTTATATCTGCTGGTAGGACAAATCCAGGACCTATTACAGCGCTTAAGTGATACATAAGATGGAAATATGCGAATATGCTTCCCATTTTTTCAGGATTTTAGCTCGAAATCCAATAGAGGGGAATCAAAATCGAATCCACATCGGAAAACGCCAAAAACTCAAACGATGACACTTAACAAAAACATTCCTCACCCGTTTTGCAGTAATTTGGAACATTTCGCCTCGAAGATATTGTAGGCGTGATTTCAAAATAGCAGTTTGGCTAACAACGTAGTCGAATCGCCAATAAAACGGCGTCGTTTTTTTTGTTGAAAGCGTCGATTCCGAAGGGATTTTCGCTGATTCCGCCCTAAACACTTGCATATACACACAAATAATAAATGGATAAGATAGTGTTAAATGAAGCTAATGTAATAATTGAAATCAAAGTGCTCCTATCGGAAAATCAGCTGAGCCGGTGCTCTCCGTAAGAAAGAATACGAACGCTGAAGTCGCCATTAGACTGGCCAACATGCGGTGTAGCATTGGTTGAAGCAA